GTTTTATTTTAAATATGTTGATCTACGTTGGCAGTGACGACCGGCGAGTTTATAAGGCCTCACAAAAAAGGCGACAGATTTTTCCACCCAGGTCAATGCAGGTTGAAATCCAACCCCAATTCAAATCATTAATCAAAAAGCGTGATCGAATGATTTTATTTTATGTGGTTGTCAGTTAGACAGAGACCACCATGTGCCCATGAATTGGATTGGCTATACCGGTAGCCAGTAGTGCACGATATGCAGCAGTACGCATGAACACCCTCTCAACCCCCTTCATTGATGCCAGCGTGTACATGTCAGCAAGCACTAATTCATTTTCCAGTGAAGTCCTTCGACACACACCATACCCAAGGTCTATGTCCTTCTCTAGTGAGTACTCCCTGAGGTCGGCTTCTGGTGCGCCCTCACGTAGTGGTGGGTTTACACGAGCTGGCTTTGCTGCCTTTTGTCGATCGCTCTTGCATCCATTTTCAAGAAAACAGGATATACATTGTCATCCTCATTCGACTCCCTCAGCAAAGTTACAAAGAAGCCCAACGGATCCTCCAGTTCGGTCTACTTCACAGTATGAGTACATTTCCGACGTTTGGAATCACTCTAAGTTGCATATTACTCCCGATTACCGAAGCAACAAGGCTCTGTCAGGCGTGCACCAAGTCCAGCACAATGCACCGCAGTCATTGGCGACGGCTGACAAAGGCGGAGCATTTTACACTCCACAGATAAGGCGATCCAATGCCGGACAAATTCCTGATCAGGCTCTCTTTTTACACAGTGTAAAATTTGCGGGTTGTGAAAAGAAACCTCCCAGGCTGGCAGAAATATGTCCCCTGAATAGGCAGGAAGATTACTCTTTAGCGAAAAGCGAGCCAAAAACAGTATTTTTGGAAACCGTAGAGGTAGATATACCGAGAAAATCACAGCAACTCATTTCACTGAAGCCCACAAAATTAGAAAAAAAAGTAGTTTCTGTAGCGAATATGTCTGTGGATTACCCACAAATTTATGGCATGATCCTACAAGCAAAGCATTCTAATAATACTACTTACAAATACAACGGGCATCAGCATTATTATGTCGAGTCCCAGGAATCAACAAATCGACACGAGACAACTGACTTACAACGACAATCATCGATAAAAGAGCGAATATTGGCTGATTGGGAGCGCAGTCGGGAACTTGGCAGTCACCACCGAGTCGGAAGTACTTCTTCGCTTGTACCGAGAGATGAACCACAAGTAGTAAGTTATCTTTTTAATTTGATGCACTTAGTTTGGTTCTTTGCAAGAGTCGTTGTCATTGCTGTCGAGTACCAAAGCCCCTTTGTTCTTGATAATTTGGCAAATAAAGAAATGCTAGCTAAATTTCATGCACAAACTGTGTTGTTACATTCCTTAAGTAATTCGTCTAACCATAATTATCTCGGTAAACTAATTGTTAACCTAAAAGCAAAATTAAAATTACATATTTTTTGCTGAAATTTTTACAATAAAAATGATATTAGTTAAGTAAGTAATAAAAGATCATGGGAGGTAAGCATGCTGGATTCTCTTAATATACTCCGGCATTCGGGGATTGTGCATTCATCAATGCATCTAAATATGATATTGAGTTTTAAATTGGTTTTTGTTGGTTTCAAACACGATTTCTTAAAAGCTTTGTCAAATTCTTAGCCAATTTCGTACAAAATTTTGTTGCTTTGATGAGTAGATTTCAGGATCACAAATTTCATGCATATCCAAGTGGCGTTATTTACGAAGTTACAGCAATAACAAAACACTTAAAACGACTCAACTGAAATCACTTGAGAAGACTGCTTGAAGTGGATGGCATTTACTTGGAGAATTCGTATCTGAGGCAGTGGTACGACACAACACGGACTAACTCTTAGAAACCTGCCAGCAAAATAGGGCACCACGGACGGTGTGCTTGGAACTTTAGAAATTTTGCAAGTCAACACAAGGTTTAGGCGGGCATAAATCAGTTTCAATGCTTGGGTAAAACTCAAGGTCTGCCTCCCCTGATACTAAACGCGGTGTAATGGGTGACAGCCTGGACACGAATTTGTATCTTAATGCCTTGAACATATCTAGCATTGTCGAACCTGGAGACAGTCTAACATAGAAATCTCGATTTCTTATATTGTTAGTTAAATGTGGCTGTCTGACTTCTCGTAATTAATCACTCTGTAAACAGACTGACAACAGATATATACGTGAAATTTATTTGAACTCTGGGCCGCTATTTCAGAGATCGTATGACATAGGTTTTATTTCATATTTGGCTTTTGGTTAAGCAAAACAAGGTAGTTACATGAACACATAATGCAGCGAGAAAGGTTTGCCTTACAGCTTCTCAACACATTTTGGGGCATGCACTTCTTGAATTTGCAAAGGTAAATGTAATCTAATCATGCCTAAGCATTTGAGAATTCAGGAGGAAAGTATTTAATTACAAAGAAAAAAATATTCTATAAGGTCTCTTTTTAGTGATTGATGTTTGCATTTTCGGGAACCCCTTAAACCGAAATATCTTCCGAACGTATTCACTGTGCTCCGAGTAAAAAATGTTTTGTTGAGAACGGCAAATACATACGATGGTCATTAATTTGCTATATTATCACCTTGTCTGTAGACATAATACTAGTTTCTATCATACCTCTAACCTTGCATGTAGTGTAGAAACGTATAATGTTTTTACCTCTTAAAGGAATCTGCCAAATTTCAAAAAAAAATTAAAAATTTTTTGTAAAATTACTTTGGTTTTGACTGATTAAAATGTACAGCACAAGCTTAAAGGTGGTTACTTATTTCAAAATACATCTTAATCAGTTTAAGGTTAAAGTTTTCTAAATAATTATTACAAAAAATGATGACGAGCACGTTCCCTATTATCTTCGTTGCATTTATTTAAAATAAATTTAAGTTGTTTTTGAATGATCGACAGCTGTTTGAGAGAGAACAGAATATTAGGCTGTCCTGTCAAATTTCTATGGCTGCTTCTTAGCTAGGAAATGGACATTTAAGGTTCCGAATGTGACAACACTGTTGTTTTTAAAACTGAAATAATTGTAAGGCGAGTTTATTCCCTTTTTTACATTAAAATAGAGAGTGAAAGTTGCTATAAACGGAGAACGATAAAGACTGACTCCTTGTTATAGAAAGAAGAAATATATCCCTGAAAATAGAGTTTAACAATTAATTTACTCCCCCGATAGTGGAGCAATTATTAAGAACGCTACTGTCCCATTTGCAGATTTGTTAGACAAGGAATATTATTATTCCTCAGGGATTGGTTCAAGTCGACTTGTTTAACTTACACTGTCATGGACCTAAACAAACAGTCTATTTAGAGTAATCGCCTTCAGACACATCTAGACGGATTAACAGGATTTTGAAATTAGTACCATCAACGATTGAATCCATCTTAGTTGCCTAGGCAACAGGCGTAAGCGTGGCAACGTCACCACTATTGATGCTTCCTTGGCTCTTGGTCACGTTGTTTTTATTTAGGACACTTTCGATCCAAGCGCAGCTTCAATTCACCTCAGCGATACCAAGCATAAAAAATTTCTGTGCGTAGTTCTTGCACTTGTGGATAAAAATTTGTGTCTATATGTGTTTATGCCGGCGCGGTTCAGTGTAGTGGTAGCTGTTGTCCCACTTTACCAACCTCGTCATAACAGAGGGCTGAAAATGAAGCGTGCAGCGAAAGTTCGTCGTCCTTCCAGGATTGCGTTTTTATTCGCAAATGCCACTTTTGTACGTTTTTTTATAACATGGTGTTGATTTCAACACTTAATTGGAGTTTTTAAAACAAATTACCTGCAGAATAAGAAGTCGGTAAAACTATAAGAAGCACTTATTTAAAATTCACTTTAAATCGGGATTGCAATTTAGGTCTAAATACAATAAAGTTACCTAGCTAAATTTTTTTTACGTTTATATTGATTTTCGAATATTTCAGCTACACAAAGTACTCACTGTTGGTCTAAATAGGAGCATTGCTAAAAAACATTATTAAACTATTAATTCATTTCAAGCCATTTATAATTAATTTTCTTCATTTAGCTATAGTGCATCACCATTGTTATGACATTGATGTGTAGTTAGACTCAATATTTACTTACTGTGAAAGCAAGACGTTTCCTCTAAAAGTGCTAGATAACTCCCTTCGCCCGTTTAGCGCATACCCTTATTATTCTGTATTGAGTAAAGCCGATTTGAATCGTATCATTCACACAGCACATCTTAAGAAATACTTGTGGTTAAATAAATCCAAATGTGTACGTTTTTGAAAATAATTTTAATCTCCATATATTTTGAAATTGGCATGCTGTGTGCAAGAGGTTTCAATACTGGCTTAAATATTCGTAATGACAATGAAGGTGCATACGTACTTCAACTATTTAACATCTTAAACACGCTAGTTCCTTATATTTGAGGTGACTTAGATAGAGCCATGTGCATTTGAAATAAAGATGGAAAAAGTATCCACACAAAGTTCGTGCATTTACTTGCAAATGAATTTTTACCTTTGCTTTGTTTTTAAAGTAGCTACGTTGTTTTCCAAATGCGAGATACTTCATCTCATGGAAAACCAAAGTACTTACATTAATTTACTATACGATACTTACAGGAATTCTATTTTAAGCTCAACTGCAGTATTCTATTAAAAGGGATATCCTACGCAGTCTTCGGGTAGAAGGCTGGGGCCAATGAACGGTTAGTGGTCTAAAACGTTTAGTAGGTGAATGGTCACTTCTGTTAGCATTGGCGAAGGGGACACTGCCTGAACACTCAGCGACAGAAATTACAGCGGTTAATTAGATATCTCATCACAGTAATTTAAATCAGAAACCTTTTCTTCAAATGAAGAACCAACACATTTTACCAAGAAAGCACAAAATTGCTGGCTGTTGTCGGGAGATGATCGAAAATGATGGTAGACGATACTTAATAGATGCAAAAATTTGAAAATACTTTAATAACCAATAATTAAGGAGCCAAGTACTTGGCATGACTAGAGCATTTATGTGTAAGAGTCGGCAAAATGTGCCACTGCATGAACTGCTGACCTAGAGTTGGAACTGCAAATGTTCAAAATTGGGGTAACATGACGTGAATTGGGATTACGTGGGAAGCACGCGAACTGAGCGTTAGCAGTGTGTATTTCACAAACAGATGCGCCTTAATGCAAATATTTTGGTCATCTCCAATTGACTAAAAGTATACGCAGAGCACTTGGTAGGACATGCACATACCGCTCATTCCAAAATTTAGTAGCAATAAGCTGAGGGTCAGCGACGGGGAAAAGGAGGGTACAACGCCACGTTCGTGGGACCTGAAGCGATGGTGCACCGGGTTCTGAGTGCTGGTTGCTCGTCTTTGTGGGTTTCCGTACGAAAATTTCGAAACCCGCAAGCGACTCACCTTCTCCGGAACTGTAAACAATCAAGTTTGAGAGCTTTACTCATCAGTTGACGCACCTGGAGATGCATAGAATAACGACTTCACTAAAAGTAGTGATTTATTTGGCAAAAGATGGATTTTCATTCAAAACTGTGAACTCCTCACGACAACTAGACTAGGGTGGTCACTTGGACAGTTCGGCTTTGGCTTTGTATGTCTTAGAATCGAACTTTATCGGCAAACGACTTGCGCCTGGGGCCAAGCTTATCCCAAGGATCTATAAACTTAGGGCTACCACATAAATTAGGTGGAGCACGATTAACTCCATGCAAACTCTTGGGGTTAAAAAGTCAGTGCACTGCCTACGTTTACTGCTTCTAACGTCGCATAACACCGCTTTACTTGAACAGCATGTTTGATGACTTCCAGCCTTCCAACTACGCAACATCGGGTTTTACATGCTACGTGCCAAGGCAATGCGAATTCACTCGAAGTAAACTTAGTAAGTGAGAAAAAAGCAACCATAATTTGAACCATTTTAGCATCAAGTAAATGATCAGGATAGTTGAACATTGCTGACGGCTCCGTGGACCTAACAACAGGTTAGCCATTACTATGGTGCCAAATGGTGTTTGACCTGACAAGGTTATAGTCAACAATTTCACTTGCTTGATTTGCGCTGTGCCCAGGTCACGTCTCACTTGGACGATGACAGTGGTGCTGAGTAGCCCAACGCAATCGAATTCAACTTTGAGGTGTTTGTTCCTCAAAATCCCTTAGACTAACTGAACTACGCTGCCTGCTTCAACAACAAACATGCTTGGAAGCGTAGAGTACTGAGTGGGTTTGGTGCCAACCACTGCTTGCCAAGCAAACCATGAGCGAAGCAACAGCCAGTAGGTATACTGTGGTAATGTGCCCAGATGTTACGGTCACATGTACTCCAGTCCAGTCGAGCCAACAAATTAAACCAAGTGACCCGGTAACTGATTCCGATTTATCTACTTACAACGTGTTTTTCATATTTTCATGTCTGTTATTCTTCCCACATAAGTGAAAAACTTGGGTCCTAAATGCTACACAGCAAATACTAGGTGCATTTAACCTGAGTTGGTCGACCAAAAGCACTTACTCTTAAACAGGACATTTACCGAGAATTCAGAATCATCTGCATAAATACTCGTGGAGCATGAGAGAAAGCCAACCACTCTGCAAATTACAAACGCTATTTGAAATACCTTGGAGTTCATTATTTCAAGAAATTTAAAACCGGTTTACTGGAACACCAACGGCCTATAAAACACAACGCACTCTGTACTATATGCCCTGAGGACCTCTTTGGGAAGGGTGCTCCAGTTGTGCTTAGTGGATGTGTTCTTTCCACCGACACTCATGCCGTTGGCGTCTCCGATGGAACTCCCACACTCCCGAAGCAGTTCCTCCACCTGTTGCTTCAGCCAGGTTCTAGCGTTGCCGTGGGGACACAAGATGTCCGATAGCTGCGGTGTCTCGAGTGATTCGCTGTCGACTCGTGTCTTCAGAACGATGTCCTCTGTCACCTGTGATGGACAACAGTCAGGTGGTTGATGGTGAAATCGTGTACAAAATACCGACTTTTAAATGCAGCAAGTGCATTGCATTTGTCCATTTCGAAATCGACGCAATCAGTCAGTTTGCCATGACTGCTATAATTGCCACAGATTATACTCCACTTCTGTCCAAATTGTACACACTTCACAAAATCACGCCTTGTCGACTTATCTCAAGCACTTATTTAGACCTGACCCCGGTAATTGTGTCATCAAAAAGAGCTTTCGTGTTGCCTTCACTGTTAGGGTAAGCTTACAACCCGAAAAACAACAAACTGCAAATGCATTACCGTGAAAATCTGTACTGACTGATAATTGGACTCACTTCGTCAGTGATCTCGAGTTATTCTATTGCTTTGCACCGCAGTTTTGATCAAATCACTACAGTGTAGTTTTCACTGCCTACCTCGGGTGACATTTGATTTACACTTATACTGTCATCCCAGTTGTCTTCTAAGCGTATCATGCTAGATCCCACTAGTTTGCATGCAAAAGTAATTGTCAACGTCCCATATATCTTGGCAACATCTGAAACCCAGTAAAATCGAGGCAATTTAAAGCCAATTCTGCAGTCTGAATTGCGCTAGTAGAAGGTTTCACATGAACAGAAGTCCAAACCCAAAGCGCTTTCGACACTTCTCATGCTGGCCCTTTCCGCGGATTCGAAACGCGTGAATAAAAGACCTGGACCAGAATGGCCGAGCATTCCCGTGTCACTGGCGATACAACTTTGCCAAATGCCACTCAGTGCGCGATGCACATGTAGCGGTCGATTAGGGTGAGATCGCAAAAGACCAGCAGTATTTGCACACACTAATACTGCATTTTATCCCAGACTTACGGCACTGATTCCTTGCTCATTTTCAGGATGTCTTGTTTTTGTAAGTTGACCATCTGCGCATACATGACAGTGAGTACTATGTCCGCAGTTGTCAGCTTATTTAACCTTCGCCGAATCCGTGGATGCAGCATTATATTTCGCTACCATGATTAACGCAGTTCGAAATCTAGGCCACACTAAACAAACTCACAAATTTCATCATTAATAGGCACCACTTGGAAGTCATTTGCAATGTCGCGTTGAGCAAATAATGTTGGTAAAGTAACTGTTTGCGTTTGAGAAAATTCAAAAAAAGACAAAACTCCTTTACCAATCAGAACCTGGGAAGTTGTTTAGTGGGGCTCCTCGCAAGGCAAAATGTTTGATTAGTTTGTGAAATGGTGCAGAATAGGTCAGAAGCTAAACTGGCAGAAACTCAATATAACACGTCTACAACTCAACTCTCACATCAATGCTCTGAGTCAATCTCTCAATCGATGTAATGAGTCAGTTAATAGAGAAGAGCAACTACTGTGATAAACCATGGTAACAGCCACCTAAGTCAAATCTTCAACATTCATACAATCGAGTCAAGTGAAGGATCAGATTATGGAGGAAGCATTCGTCTTGCCATGAAATCTGAAGAAAGTTCATGACGGGCATGTCGACTGAGGGCTGCGGTGAGGCGGTGTAAGGCAAGTTATAACACACAGAGGTGGTTCGACCAATGCCTGATTTTCAGCCTCAGTGGTATTTCAAAGCCTGTATATCACATTGAAACGTCATGTGGGATCCCACGAGCAATTACCATCTTGGTAATCGTGATGTGCCAGAAGGCGCCCTATAACGACCAGAGCGTCAGTTGTTTTATTTCAACTAAGGCAAAGTTCGATGTAGCTCTCTCACACGTAGCCTAATGCGTGTCCTCTGCATGGAGGGTTTGAATTGTGGTACCTGCGTTTCAACAATTAGAGGGTCACAGATATTGGTTCAATTGGCCACACAAATTAGGAAACAGAAACTATGTCCAGTAGGAAGACTCAGAGAAACTGATCTCCAGGGATGGAGGAGGTAGGTAAAATGAGTTTGCCAAGCACCCCCAGATTAGGTCTTCTTATATTCAGCAGTCAGGGTAGTTCCTATTGACCTCTAAAATTGCTACCTGATGCAACAGAATTTTGCTGCCTGCCAAATTTGCGTTCGAAGGAAAAACAAGTTAGATATGGCTGGTTGAGTTCACATTGGCACTGCTCAACCTGCAGTGGCATCTGTGTGGCATACACTCATTCGTGCTGTGATCCGATGCAGTAAGTAGTGCTGTTAATGCATTCCCATGCAAGTAGTGGAACACGTGCTCAATCCTCGCCTTCAAACGTCATCTCTCCCATGGGTAATCACACCGTTGACCTCTAACTGACCAAATGTATGTGTTGACGTCGCCATGCCCCACTCTCATTACCGCAATCCGTACATGTTATTTAGGCTTTTGTTTCCCTTGACACAGCCACACTGCCTTAGTGCAAAGGGTCAACAGCTCACCGGTATGACACGACGCATTTGTCCACAGGTGTACAAATTAGCCAGAACAACAAACTGGACAATTTGTAGCACTGTGGTGCACGGCGAGAAATGAGAAAAGAGCTTTCAAGTTGCGTGGACTACTGTCTAGGCCAACTTAGGCGTACACAGCACATATTCGTGCTTATTCGCAAGCATTAATTTTACAACACGCCTGCATTCAGGCCGAGACTCTCGGAAATGCTCGGACAGTGCAGCAGTCTGCCTCCACCTCCTTCCGTCTAGTTAACCGTTTAAGCAATCGTGACAACTGCACATCGTAACCTACCACAAAAAGATGAGGTGCATTGGTAATGAGAAAACAGAGACACTGTTGGGCGGCTGTCTGTTCAGCCAAGTCCTTGGGGTCGAGGCCGCCTAGAGGATCTAACTTTCGACGCCGCCGAGAACCGAGGTTAGACAGCAAGGGTGCCACAGGACTTGATGTCGAAAGGAGACTGGAGAAACGGAAGAGCGAGGGAGCCAAGCAAATGGCCAAATTCAATGCACTCATCTACAGTGGGGAAAGTGGAGTAGCACTTGGGTTACAGGAATTTTAATTGAAGATAGTCTGAGGGACAATCCAATTGTTCTTCTGGTCTCACTTCACCAACCTACGCGGCACTCACTTGTGCAGCTTGTATCCATGCATTAGTACAATAATCGTCGTTTTGAATTAACGTGGTGTCTAAGAGGTGGTGGGTTGATGGAGTTCCCCCGACTCCCTACACATTGCGATTCATTTGAAATCGAATGCGCCCGTTCACACACGGAAAGGAAACGCAGTGCGTAAGTGAGTGGGCGGAACGTGGTAGGATCGTTTTGGTGATAAACAACAGCATTTCTCAAAGCTATCTCCGGTAAACGGAGTTCGGCATTGCTCTGGGGTGAGCAATGTCTCCATATATCTGACAATCCGTGCAGAGCTCATCCTATTGGACATAATTACTGCTTCCAGTCTATGTCCAATGCATGTGTAGTGCAATGTTTGCTAGCAGTCTGGGCTGTCAGGTCGAAAAGACGAAGGCGCCCCACATTGCTCAGTGCACAAAACAATCCGTCATGCATCAGTGGTGAGGAACTGCGTCAATGCTGATCGCCAAGCATAACTTAGTATTTCGACTGTTTTTTGTTGATGCATTCTCTTGCCACCCCTCACATTGAGCCACCTGCTACGCTGATGTCTCTGATGCCATTGGTGGCCGTTGAGCTCAAGCCCATTCTTTACTTTATTGGTGGTGGCCTTATGAGGCACCTCAATGCCACATGTGGTGAATATTAATGGACAACCCACGAACGAAACTAGGTAGCTTTCCACGAAACTCCTATTCTTGGTTGCTTACTCCATTGTGGCCCTGTCGAAGCTACACATACCTGAATAGTCTGCAATTTTTGGAGTATTTGACAGACAAGTTTGAGTTATAACGATGAACTATAATTCCTAAGGTACGAAACACATGAATGAAAATGGGTGTGGTCTAGTGGCTTTTTAAATACCGGAATCCCGTAACATTAAAAAAAATAATGAATTACCTGAGTTAAAGAACTTCGATTGGCGAGAGCATGGAGGAAGTAAAGCAAACTTTGTAAAGCAATTCGGTTTTCGTCGGGAAGACTGATCATTGCTAATCTGAGAAGGTCAATAGTGCAGGCCTGTGGTGCGTCTAATGCAGGAAAATGAAGAAAGTCAGCCAAAACGTTTCCGTGTCCACGAGCAATGAATAGAACTCTGAACCCTTAAAATTAGCTTACTGATCGAAAAAACATAGAACACGATAAAGCCATTCTTGATCAAGAGCAAATCACGAAATTATTTTAAATTAAGGAGTTTGAACAAGGGTTTTGTAGAAACCTTCAACAGCATAATTTTCCGCAAAGAATCGACGACACACAAAAATGCAAATCATTGTATATTTAGGCATTTAATTGATGTTCAAATTCGGAATATCAGAACAAAAAAGGCAAATTACAGCGACTCTGAGACTATTTATCAACCAAGATGCTAATACGTTTGTAAATTCTAGAGGAAATACATCTTTTTTGGCATTTTTGAAATTTTATGGAATGCAGATCTCAGGTTTAGGAACTCATCTGTTTAATTAAAGCATCTAGCCGAAAAATAAAACGCCAGTTAGGTTTGCTTGAAGGAACATAAAAAAGGAACTTAAATGTCATAAAACCAATACCATCCAAACTCGATTATCTAGACCACGAATACATTTTGCTGCATTTTCTTAATCATAATTTGCAAAATTGCAAATACCTGTAGGGAATAAGAGGCCCTTATTACTTCACCTAATCAGTAACTTTACCAGAAATGGCTCCTCATCTTTTACTTAATTTTGACATCAAAATATGGGTTAATTTATTTCAATACCATACTCTTTAAACTGTAGAGGACTATTGGTGTTGACTTGTCCGCGGATAAATTTTAAACAACTCCGGTGTCATATTAGAACCCTCTTTTTCTACACAGACAATGAGCTCTAATCCTAGGTATCCTATTTGCGCCCGCGTCAGCTAGATACTCACATAATCGGTCAGTTTGTTATAAAGCTGGTCCTACTAATCATTACAAGTTTCATCATTATTCTCGAATACAACTTGGTGATAAATTAACAGTTGTAATTTGTGTCCTGCCTGACGCCCTTACAACCCCAATTTTTTGCACCGATGGTTTACCTCAGGTCAGAAAGATTCTGTTACTCTTGCATAGGAACGAATATCTCCATTATGCTTCCGCTCTTCGAAGTGAATTCCCAGAACTTAGATTGTGTAAGTCGACATTCGCTTCCTTCGTCAGGACAACGTTTTATTTCAGTGTTATAGACAAAGGTAGCAAATGAAGTTGATGGCCGTAAAAGAGATTTAAAGGGGAAGTCCTCACAAATAAGCCAGATCTGGCGAAACTCATTGACAGTGTAATAATGTGCATTAAAAACCTAAAAAATATCTTACTTTGGCATTTGCAAAGCAAGGTTAAATTTGTGTTAAAAAATTCTGAAACAGACCACAATGGCAACCTCATAACTCAATTTCAATCAATGATTAGTTTATTCGCGAAAAAATGAGTGATTTTAATTAGATAGCAAAGATTTAAGTTTATGGTATTTTAAAATGCGACATATATTTTGGCAACAATTCTACGTAGGTATAGACCTCAGCTTAGTTTTATTTGAATAAAAGGAAACATAGTAAGTGTCGGTAGGAGCATAACAAATTATTACGGTTTAAACACAACGGATTTTGATAAACAGCTTTGTGTAATAAATATACATTCATTATTTGAGACACCTGGAATTACATTTAAATTGTGGACTTGTTTGCCATATTGCATTTTTCCAAAAGTTTAATTATGCAGTCCGAACAATTTTAAGACCTTGGTACAACTATGTCACTAAATAACCCACAATCTCAGTTTAAAAAATAAGTATCGTTTAATGGATTAGTAACTGGTAAAACATTGTAGAAAGGTAAAACGAAAGTCAACTTAACATCAGAAAACGTTTTTGCTACATCTATATGGACTAATAATAAATGGATTTAACCTAATGCTTAAAATAAAACGAATGCCTACCCCCTTATTTAAAAGCGTTAGCTAGAATTAATTTTCACAATCGCCTCATTGAATTAGCAAGCCCTTCAGAGTAAGCAAATAAAAATTAATAAAACGTAAGGATGATTACATGCAACAGCATAACACCTTCCTATTCCCACAGAGACTTTGCTACAATGATACGGACATTTGTGGTTTAAGGGGCTTCCTAAATTGGCATTATATTTTATGAGTAACACACAACCGGGTTATTTAGGCCATGCTGTTACAAAAGCCATTTTAGTAATTTCTACAAGTGCGACGTACGGTGAAAGATATTTATAAGAGTTGTGGATAGCTTATTTGTCAGTAGACATTCTGGCAGCTCGCGGAAGAATTGCTTTAAGAGATCAGCCACGTCGTATGGTTGCCATTCATCAAACGTATTCCAGTCTAAAATGCATAATGTGCAAAGCGTAAAAATCTTGATCTTACAAGCACAGATTAGACCAATGTTTTTATCTCTTGGGACTTGGACTCCACTGAGTTCCTTATGGCATGCAACCGTAGGAATAATCTGTACTAAACTCAGTGCTTTTTCAAAATTAAAAATTTATTACTTCATTTAACAAACATCAATACTCTTTCTGAAACAAGTCGGGAAACACATCGAGTACTCTCATAAGTATACTAGTTATAATTTTTATGTGGTTGCCAAACTAATCCGTCTGCAGGAATGTATAGAAGCGCTGAACAATTTTTGCGGCATGAATATGCTGTCATTATGTCTTGTATGCTTAGCATTACTGAAATTTCAGGTAATTGTCTTGAAATACCGCTAAGGAGTTTCGTGAAAAATGAATCAGGGGTATGCATTATGTTACGTATATTCGATTTGTTACTTTGACAGTTTGTCTTTTCCCTGTTTTACGATTTGATGTCGAATTATGACAATGAAATGATGATAAACTAAAAGTATTGGAAATCGATCGTTTTATAGGTCATACGTTTCGTTACAAACACGAAAATCGGCATCACATCTAGTTTGGCTGTCTGCTCTCATATCATTGAGCCGAAGGTTTCATTAAATGCCCAATTCAAAATTAATCATTACTGTAACTCATTTTCGTTACTCGTGATTTATTATCAGGCTTCAAAGGAAATCAGGATAGATATATGCAATTCAGCCTACCTATAATTATAAAGAAGTCGTGCTTTCAGATAGAAGGTGCAAATTTAACAACCACAGAATCAATTCGAGAATGGAAGTTAAGACTAATTTTTAGTAAAATGGTTTACAAAATAACGTCATTTTAGCCACATTAGTAAGTTACTGAGACCATAGTTTACATGAAAGGAATCATGATTTTTACCAGGAATAAAGTCTCATCATTTTACGTCCAATAGTGAATTTAAAAAAACTCAAGTAAAGCCCCATAATAGCAAGCATTATTAAACGGGTTTATCTGCGTTCAGCTCAGCGCTGTGCAAATTCTTGCACATTTAAAATCGCTAAAGCCATTTCCCCCGTATTCATCTGTACATTCGCAGATCTATGTTTAACTTTAGCTTCTAAATTGTAGAAAACACCCAGCTTCACCTGATATAATGGAGAGGAATTCATAGATTACCTTGAAAACATATACAAATCTTGACCGACAATCAAGATTAATTAGTATGGATAAATCTGCAAAACATCAGAGCTTTTAATGCAGATATCAAAAAAGACTTACATATGTCCTTTTCAATGCGTTCCCTGAGGGCCTGGACCCTCAATTTCCCGCCAGCTCTGCGGAAGATGCCGTGCGCGACGTGTGCCACTTGCTGTAAGTAGGCGAGCATATTTGAGATACAGGGAGGGAAAGGGTACCCAACACGGCGCTGCCAGAATGTCAATGATTGACCAAATAGGGGTCCGACGAAGGTTCTGCTTGCCCCATAAGCGTTCCCTTGGACAGCATCGCTACTTATGGAGTTCGTGTCACCCATCTCAGGCCAAAATGTGGAACCGTGTGAAGTAGAATCAGGTGATTTTAAAGGGGTAAGTGAATCCTCTGTTTCATTTGTCACCGCTGAGTTTGTCGATAGTGTCTTAGGAGCCCCGGAGACGAGGTCAGTCTGTTGGTTCATGAGGATGGTACCGGGGGAGTGAGTTGCATCTATATAGTCTCCAGAAGTGGATATTGCTGCTGTTGGTGCTGACGTACATTTAGTCCGTCCGATTCGCCTAAAATACAAGCAGTTTTTGTGGCTTTATCCTCTAAGCACACAAATTCTTTACACCACTGAACTACTACAAGAAATAAGTCCTTCCTCACTAAAGTCCTGAGAAAAAATAAATTTTTTTAAAGTAGTGAATTGCACTTTCAGTATAAATCGAGCCAATAAGTTCGATTTTTGAGAAACCATCGTCACGTGTTGGCAAAGGCATTGGGAAAAGTCTTAAGCAAAACATGGTGAATTGGTACTTAACTATACTCAAGGTCGTTTCGAATGCCCTTAGAAGGTTTTGTTGCCCCAATATTGATCACTTTCAAATGTGCGCACATTTCGATAAAACTAATTTATGAATACAAAAGTTCATCTACTTAAGGCATTTAAAATCCGGTCCACATTAGTGAGCATTAACATACCTTAAAGGTCAATAGCATGTTCCAATGTTCACGTTAATTCCATTTCCGAACCTTTAAAATAATACTTGGAAAAGCTGTTTGCAACCATCCAGCACCGCTTTAGTCTACTCTGACTTAAATGTTTCACTTGAATATCCGATCCTACTCTCGCATTGATTTCTAGTAATAACCCAAAGATAATCGTAGCTGAATTAACACGCACATATCTCCCTGTGGGCATCAATTAATCACTTTATTTAGGACAATCAGTATAATTTTTTTTATAACCTAACGGTTTTGAGGTTATCTCAAGGTAATTATTTTAGTGTCAAAGGCTTTTCTATTTTTTAAGCATTGAGTACATTTCGGAAAATGTTTTTTGTAAAATTTCATTAACTATATATAAATAAAACCTTACAATGAGTTCATTGGTTGTGGTTAAAAGGACCGTTACTGCACTAAAACTATTGATTATGCAAATAGGATCTTGTGTGCGTTCAGCCCTTGCAGATTATTGTACCGAGATGGAGGACTCAAGCATTAAACACCTCCATGTACACAAACCGAACTTAGTAATATGTAATTAATGACATAAATGGACGGTTTGATTCATAGTTTACACAGGAATAAGAAAATAACCAATACTTTGCAGGTCCAGAAATAATTGCAAGCGGAATAAAGGTAAGCCATACACTGGTACGTAACTCATTTTTAATTATACTCATACTGGTATTGATTTTATGAGCAGTGTTTGTGTTTAAGCTGACAGTGAATTGGCAAAATAGAGCCAAATAACTCTGGTCGGACTAACGTGCAGATAGAGGGTAAACGTAGCTTCAGGTAATCAACGCCCTCCTAAAACTAAGTAAAATATGGGAACAAGCCAAGGATACAATCAGTGTTAGACAGTAACATTCAAGAATGACTTGTGAGATGCCTGCACATTCGAAGTTTAAATTGCCTTTCGACTGATTTTGCTCTCTGGACCAACGTGGTATCAACTAGATAGGAAGTGCCCCTGCTTAGTTTTTTCTTTCTTGTGGTATCTCAAGTCTTTATTCATGTTTAAACTACCACCTTAAAGAACCCAACTGGTATATGAAATTAGCAGCATACATAATGCTTACCACCTGATTAGTCGATTGGATGGACAGACACGTTCATGCGTTAGAGTGATTTGTGTCTGTGCCATTCTTCGCAATACATTCAGCTGCCTTGCAGAGAACACCCAGAAGGGAATGACATCCTTCAGCTGGGGGACGAACATACTAATGACCCTGGCTGATGAACTTGGCTGGTACTTTTGCATGTCCTTGGGCTTCGTAGCTCCATTTACCAAGGGAATAATATCGTTCTCCTTAACTTCTGTGGATTTCAGGGTTTGAGATTGAGAAGAGGGTGGCGATCTTACTAAATTAAAAGTACTGGGTCGTTGATAGCGCTCAGACCATCGGAACTGATGTTGGCGTTCTCGGAGACGCGAGGTATTTCCGCTAAAGATAAATGGAAAGTGGAGTTTAAGAAAGGTGTTCGAGTGATTTTACGAATTTGTAACTAGGCTGTCAGCTTTTTACGAGGTTATTTCCCTAATTAAGCTGCAGTGTATTTTTAGAAGGATCACAAAAACAGGTATCTGGTTTGGATTTGCAAGGAAAATGTTACAAATCCAAAATAACTTCCAGGATATACTGAAATAATTTCAGAAAGACTGATGTGACGCATCATAAGTGATTAAGCTTTTGGCAGCAATACAAACTGCTTCAGCCACGACAGTGTTACTTTCAACACAGTTTGGATAATTTTTTTAACGTATTCACCTGTTTCTTCGTCGAGTTGGCATAGTTTACATCAGAATGCACGGCACGAAGGGTGAAGAGTGTACCATATCGGCCTCATCTTGAGCTTCAGTCTACTTCGATGACCAACATTTCGAACACATGAAAGTGTACACAGTTTAAATTGGGCGTCAAGTTATGTTAGACGTGTTCCCATATTAATCCAATCGTTTCGTATGCTATCAAAATGGTCTCTTCATGGCTTAATGTTCACCTGATTAGAAACGTGCTAACAATTTCTCTTGTCCCTTTTTGTTTTTGCACTTACTTCTCACGTCTGCACTCTGTTGCTTTCGTCTCTGTTCCACCAGTAATCTATCATGAGTTTTCAATTTACATTGTCCTTTCAAAAATGAACTAAAATTATATTTCTTTTTACTAACGCTTTAATATAATGGGTGAGATGAAATATTTTCTGATACTGAGAACTTGTAGGAATGCAAATAACCTCTACCTGAAGCCTACTGTTTGAATGCACTTTGTGATAATAAAGTTATCAGTCAATTATTGACCATGCCAAAAATTACATTTTCTCAGCATCCGAAGTTTAAGGCAAATCGGTCACCAGTAAAGAATGCAACACTCAAACAGAAAAAAAATTCTTGCTATTGTTTATGCGCGCTTACTAATCAGTGGAGTTCGTTAATGTGTCAATCAACAAGATGTTAAATGAGGTACTGTTGATTTGTGGTAAGCTTCTTGTTTCATTTTGCATGGGGAAGATTTTAATCAAATGACTGCGCGTAAGCGCAAATTATTTTGTTCTATTTACATACTTTAAAAACAAAGAGACCACATACTCGTCTTGTGGGCTTTCCTTATAGGGAAGTTCTTTTAAGCATCCGTCGGTAGTGCTTGTAGCAGACTTTTTAACTCCACCAGGCTTTTTCGCTGTTGAACTGAACTCAAGGTCAATTAGGTCATGGATTTGGGAGTTGAGGTCACGCTGGGCATCAATCACCTAAAAATAACATGGTCTGTTAAAAAACATACATAAACTTATCAAAACCCTGACGTGTAAAATGGCAGCAACGCAATTAGCATTTGAGGCAGGTGGGCACCGGCAAACAAAGCCCACTTTGTTAAATCGTCATTTCTAAGCAGAATTTAAAAGTTCCAGTTTCATTGCAGTTAGTAAAATGAATAATTCTCATAGTCAATATTACCAAACAACACTAAATCATAACTCTATAGAGAAAGATAGAACAGGGTCCACCAAAATACTTACTGCAGTTCCGACTAGCTTATCCCTGAGAGAAGTGCTTACTCGCACGTTTGAGGTTCACATCCAAGAAAACATTTACACCCTCCCTGAACTTGTGCACAATACATGTAATTCAAGTAGTTAAGATTCGGAATAAAAATTTTAGAAATGTGCATGATCCTCGACCAAAATTTACAACTACTTATTGATGTATTTGAAGGAGAACTTACAACTGAAGTAGAAGTGATATTTCTCACTATGATAAATACATTTACCCAGCCAAACCCAGAATATTAATACATACATCTTCCTGCCTTATCGTTGAGGGACATGCAGGGGCCTCAAGGGAAGAAGCCTGAAGCTCCGTAGACGAAACTTCATGATTGGGATTTAGAGACGGTTTTTGCCCACGATCATTTGTGGAGGGACAGATGCTCAAAGTCTTTTGACTTCTAATACCTGGATAATCACAAAAGAGTAATATCACTGGTAAATTGTCAACCATTTTCAGATAGTTGAGCGACCTCACGTTACCACATCTCCGAATCAACTTATTTGCTAGAAAAGACTAGCCAATGCAATTAAGCATACAAACTAAAGGTGGTCAATATAGAATTCAGAACCATTTTGGTCAAGACATTTCACTAACTAACATGTAAATTAATTTAGGTTAATAAAACTGTGAAACCGGTTTTTAACAATCATGCTGCGTATGTCATTCTCTCAAAATATTAATATATCCTACAAACTATATTTGGTATAATAAACACGCTTTTTATGGTTGGTGGGGGGCTATGGCAGTCTAGGCTGTACTGGAGACCATGGGTTCGTTTTACCTAAGGGGTAATGGCTGTAGTGGCTACGAATATAACCAGAAAGGAGGCCAAGTCCAAAACTTTGTTCCTATAATATAAACTTTGTCCATGAAATTTGCTTCCTACACATCAGTAGACTTATTTTTTGCAATCAAAATGTAGATTAACGGTATGGAAACGTGTTTCGTTCTATTATTTTGATTAAATTCCATCAGTTCTTACTTTCGTTGCCAATTACGTCATCGAATACTAAATGTCACCTTTGTAATTGTTTGTCAACTTATTAATGTTACGGAAAATTTAGTGGACATATAAGGTAGATGTCACGCATTTTGTAACTAAATCAACATATTTGATACACTGGGAAATATGACTAACCAGAGTTACAGATAAACAATTAATCTTGGTTACCGAGATTCATTAGGTACTTACCCCTTTTAAATAGTTTCTTATTAAAGTAAGTGCTATCTAAGTTAAATTAACTAATTATAATCAAAATGAGGAAGCGTCTTTGAGAACCATTAAATAAATCATGATGTCTGTGCACGTTATGTATGTGAACAAAATCATTTTGTCATTAAAATCGGTTGACGCTAAATAGGGAAATCGAGAAACTTTAAACTATTTGAGAAAATATTACTGCTCTTCAAGTTTAGTTTGTTTCCACTAGATTCATTTCAACCGAAAATATCAACAGAACTGTTGCTTGAAACGGGGTTTTTACCAAGTCACCTTGGTATAAAGTTAGCTTATGTGATGAGTTTTCACAATCCAGTCAGTTTAGATCTTTGGTATGGTATGCAACAAACTCACATGAACAGAAATACGAACCAAAAGCCATGCTTTCTTCGCAGGGGTGTAAATGCACGCATTCACCCTCACCCAAGGCTACCAGTCGACAAGTGAACAAGCGCTAGTTGAGAAAAGGCATTCATATTCCATTTGTGTATGCAAATGGTACACAACTCTTGTTGGGTACGGCAACTCGTCAAAGACCAGTGTACATGTGTGCAATCCACATGACTGCGTATGGATACACTAGTCAAAAACTCGGTCGAAGTCTCTCATCAGTTCGATGAAGTGGGGGAATCAATAAATGCTAATAACAGTAAAACTTCATACTAAAAACCTATGGAACAATTTTTAAACTTTTTATGAATATAGGCTGACCGGGTCGCTCGTTAAACCAGACGCAGCTTTTAGGCCTAAACATCATTTAAAATTTCTTCATGGAATCAAAAATACTCCGATTACTTTGCGTACAGCACTTTCCCGCATCGATTAAAAAAATGCCTTCATAATTACGAATCATGCGATAACCCGACAGCATAACTGACTACAATCCTAACATTTAATAATTTTAACTTTAAGCTCACATTTTGCACAACTTTATCGCTAAACAGCCTGTCACACATGAATTCAAAGAAGTTGAAACCACACCACGTTCCAGTAGTTGCCAAATCTGCATCTATCTTTAGGATTGTTTTCACACAGTGACTCACATAAAGTATCTCAGGCCAGTTTGATGTGTGCCTCATGTTTAAAATATGTCTACATTGATCGAAAAGTAGCAAATCGACTTGAGTTCTAAAATATTATGCAAATTGTAAGTAGGATTGGTCCTTACTGTCCTCGATCTAATTTGTGACTGACGCAAATTGTAAGTTTTTGAATGTAATTTGTTACAATCCCGGTACAACATGACGTTAAAAATAAAATTAATGGAACAAAACCATGTTAATTAGTCGTGCACGGTAAAATATTATAGTAAATATGAGATATACCATATTTTTTTTAACAAAACGTTTAGTTGAAATGCCTATGCATCTAAAATATCAAAATAGATTAAAAAAGTCAATTTACTACGGAATATTAGTATGTTCGATTAATCTTTGAATATATTTGCATAATTTTCAAAGTATCTCAGAAATCTCTACATAATTTTACAGGATAATGAAACTGAATAACAATGCTTTTTCATTGTTTTCGAAGCTCTACTTAGAATCCTTAATCATTAATGCTTATTTTTCAAGTGTCCAATACTTGTAATGCATTTCGTTAACTCACCTTTTGGGCTAACTCTATTATGTGATATTTTTCAAAAGATTATGGATTGACTATCTCGAAGAGAGTCATGTTGGTTACTCTGGAACGTAGAACTTCATCTTTTTAGGAAGGCCAAAAATAATTAGGTTAAATGCAAATAAATTATGATAGAATACCTTTCAAAAAACATTCAGATTTGTGGGATTCTTACTTCTGAACTTACTTAGAGTCAAGCCTCTTGCAACTCACTTAAACCTAGCACAACCGTCTTTTCCTCTGACACGATATTTAACATTGTCATTGTGTTAGTTCTATCCTCTACACGATCAAGAGCGTCTTCTAAGTGAGAAATGTTCAACTCCTGTTTATCGTAATCAATAAATGTCAAATGTCAAGATATTATTGCCATCATAAAAGCTAGTCATTTTCACGGTCATCTTTTTTTCCATTCCGAAACTGGGCGCAATGATAAGCACAAGAATGCTAGACTTTGACGAACCTAGCAGCCAAAAGAGATCTACCAGAACAATCCCACCTGAACACTCACTTAACCCCCTAAAGTGTCAGTACTTTTAGCAAAGAAATGAATGCCTAGTGTTAATGTACTACTTTACAACAGAGAGCACCTTTTAATCTCAGTAATGATTATCACCCGAAATCACAAAGTCAGAAATCTGCTTAACCTTATATATGTGTAAATATTCATTTTCCAAAATAAAAAGGACATGCATTCTCCTGACTTTTTACCATACTAGACCATATCATTGAAGCCATTTACCTTGACAAACGGAAGACTACAGCAATATAACTATTTTATGCTGACAAGATTTACTGCGTTTTTCCTCACAACGAATTTTGTACACCTACACTCACTGGAGTTTGCATAGCCCCTGCCGTAATTAGAAGCATGACATCAAACTACAAAATACGCTGTGGACTAGGTCGGAGCACTTGCAGAATACTTTTTTCCACTTTCAATAGGGGAATTTGAAATAATACGGGTTAAATGGGCCAAATGCATGGTACTCAGAGTTGCATTAATGCAACCCAGACCGTTAAAATAACTAATAACTTTTACGATTAGCAAAGTCAAATGTTTTTTAACCCTAAAAATCCTACAGATACGTAAAACTACAAAGAATTCCATTCAGTCTTAAGAAACACTGACTGATACTAATACTTGACTCTAGGTTCTGGAAGTTGTTCATTAGTTGTAACATTATTGTGGAATTTTATATTATTAATGTTGCGAAGTTAGACAGTCGGACATCCGTCATTACTAAAGTAGAAGTAACTGGCACTGGTGCGTTTTTATGCTTTTATCGCGTCAAGAATACTTCTTGATTCAGTTAATCCTAGTAGCAGCTTTTATATGCAATTATGGGTGACTAAGGCAATAGCAACTTTTCATAAAAACTTGGAACTCTACTGATGACAGATCGCCGCTGTAAGGGCTGGTTTGGACGATAACAGCATTGCCTAGAATTTGGTTAAAATTGAGTACCTGTGCAGGCAATTCAAATGCCATCTGCTAATGAAATACGTGATCATGTAAGTACGCAAGAGACGTCGAAGCATGGAGCAATGAAGGCTTCTTGTGTTTATGTAGGGTGGTTAGGATAACAAGTAAGAAAGTAGCATTTGTGTTTTAAAGAATATTGCTTTAATTTAAAAAGGATTAGTCTTTTAAATATCATTCGGTAACTGACGATTCCTACACTCACATTATTTTTACCACGTTAGATATATAAAATTATTTTAATGCAGCCAAGGGTCATTAGCAATACTTGGACACAACAGCTTGAGAACTTGTGAACAGAAAACCATGACACGGCTTTTGACTTGTGCATATGACTGCTAGGACCGCATAATTATACTATGTCCAGAAAGTATTTAGAATGTTAATATCATTCCGATTGAAATGGGTTTACATAATTATTTTGCAATGTCGGAGATGGGCAGTGTATTCCAGAGTCTGAAAATGTTACCCTAGAAGTTACTCCCAAACAGCAAGTTTCTGTTCAAACAAAATCTAGACTACACTGCTTAAGGAAATATAAAGGCCAAAGAATATCTTTTTCTCTAACAGTAAAATGGTTCTGAAAACACAAACATTAATTCTCAAAAAAGTTCAAGTTTTGACGTATGTCGGAGTTTTAATGTTTTCGTGAGGAGTAAGGCAATTCTCGTTCACTTCTATGGGCTAGCATGGAGATTTTTTCACTGTAAGTCCAGTTTTTATTTAGCCACGACGTCATAGTCAACCGTGTGAATAGTTTGACAATTTGATTCTGATTATTTTCTTTTGAGCAGTTATTTGAGTTTCTGTTTGTGACAAATGTGTCCATTTTTAGGGCATTCAAACAAAATTGTGCTGTGTGGCTATGTAAGCGCACTTCAGACTCATAAATCTAATTTATAACATATGCATCTTTTAACACCACAGTCCGATCATTTGCACCTTTAGACTTATCACTGTTCCGCAACTTCATTCTCATCAATTGTAGGCACTCTTGCTCTGCCATTGACGCCAGTCTGGTTCAAAATAGCGCAAACTGAGTGCTTCAGGCACGAAATAAATTATTGGAAGCAAAGCCTGCTTCAGTGAGTTTTGCCTGATCAACCATAAATAACAGACACCACTTAGTTGGAACTCCTACGTTTTCGCATTATCGGCACCCCTCTTCTCAAGGTGAGTGCATGAAACCAGTGCAATGTCATCGCGCACTGTGGGTAGATCGAAAGAGTTGAATTTGCCAGTCAATTGGAAATGTGAGGTTGCCTCACCAAAAGCCCCAATGTTTAACGGAAGAACATCGCAATGGAGTTATAGAAAAACAGGTGTTTTGACAGAGTACCATTAGGTCGGTGTGGTATTTATAATGAACACGTGGGCTATAATGTGAAAAATTAAAAAAAACCTTTATTCATGTTTATAAAACCATTGCAAATTGGCCTCGATTTCAATTAATTGTGTTAGCAGTCATCAAGGTCTATTGAGCATGAAAACTAACTGCGCATTGATGAGTTTATTTTAAATTGTGAAAATGTCACTTTAATTATTTAAGTTGTCTGCTTAGGTTTAGAAGTCACGTCTAAACTTTTATCCTACCATGGCAGGTCCTAATTTTAAAAAAAATGAAGTGAAGCCCATTATCCTATATGAATCATTATAGTACATTTATAGTACTAAGCAATTAAGCATTAAGAGAAAAGTGGATTTAAACATACTTTTCTCCCTTAAGCTGTTGCGAAATTCGTCCAGCTGGGAGACATCAGACTGAAGAAGCGCCAGAACGGGATCCAGTTCAGCTGTTTTCGAAAGTTCTATCGGGGCCTTGGGAACAGGTGGCCTAGGTGGGGACGCGGAGGTGACTTTGGCCCCTGTGACCTGGGGATCGTAACAATCACTTAGCCGACCGGGATTGTTGATATGAGCCGACATCAGGTAGTCGTTAAGCGTTTGCCCACTTCTGCTTCGGGGCGCTGCCAAACATTCGATTGCATAGGTTTTTCTTGTATCCACAAAATGATCATTAAACCTTCCAAGAAAGCTCCCTGTTCGATAATTGACGTGACCGGTCCCTCCAAAGTCGATCGAGTCATTTATAAACGAAGTACCAAGGCTGACTCGTCCTGATTGATAAGAGCAATCGGGGGGACGTATTACTGACGTACCAGTTACTTGACTACTTGCATTCTGTTCTGAATCACCCTGTTTTGTTCTCGCCATAGTCAACCTTACCGTCGAAGTATTGATCGGGGGCTCTGATAGGCTTCTTTGAACCTGGGCTTCTCCAGAGACTAGGGTATGTGACTTTTTAGCTAGACACTGAGAGGCAAATGACACTTTTACTGGTGATGAAATTCGGGTGTTGGGGTCAAGTTGGGAATCCTCAGATAAATCGTTGATCGAAAAAGCAGACGCAACCCCGTTTGGTCTGGTTGTGTAAAAGGAAGGGTGGACCAATTTTGTTCCAATGGCTTGGAACCTTCGAGGGAAGGAAACTGATTGTGGACAGCTCAGAAATAGCTGATTAGCTGCTTCAAATGGGCACTCAGGGCCTGTGTCTTTATCGCGTGTTCTTAACGTCTAGGAGAATAGAATTTGTGGTGAGAGTGTTGCATTACTTGAGAGCTAGTGTATTACCTGGTGGTTAAGTTTGCCACGTGATTGGTTGTCAAGATGGTCGTTCTGATTGGTCTGACGTGAAAGCTGGCACTGTTGGATCATGTAAACAAATGAGCCGCCAATTTCACTACTTAATTAATGTCGCATGTGCGCGTGGTGCTGGCATGGGGTTCACACAGAGTTGTGCATTCCAGATCGTTTTACTGCCAAAACAGAGATCTTCTATATATCCCTTATTAGATTAATGGAATGCCTATTAATGGATCTTAGGCATTTTCGAGCAGTGCTTGTTCTTAAATGTGAGATTAGTATGGATTTGATAAAGGTTGAAATGTAGGTAACAAAAAAACTTTTTTATGTTTTATGACGGTTGCATCAATTAATTTACTCCCGTGAAGTACCTCAGTTATTTGAAAAGCTGTAGGATATATTGACTACTCTAAGTTAGTCACAAATGCTTGAGGAAGATGGATTGATTCAGATGTCAATGCAGGTCGACCTACCTACATTGGACTTAGTGATGCTTCTTCCATTACTTGAGCAAAATAAATGGCATGCGATGTTTCGTTTAACAAAAATAATAAGAATAGAGAAATTGACTCCGTAATTTTGATTATTAAAAGATTTGGTGCTTTATCAACATTTGGAGACTTACGATGTTGGTTTGTCGTCGGCTTTCACTAGGTTTCCACCTTTGCCATGACATTAAAGAACTCTCTGATTCCGACAAATACGAAGCCAGCGATAACAAATGCGAATTCCTACAATAATTGACAAAAAATGAAGGTCAGTTCCTCGGATTGATGTGAAATCGGGTATACCTTAAGCGCATTGGAGGGGCTTTACTTTTATGATCAGTTACTTGACCTCTTTAGATAAGTGAATACTACGAATAAGGCGTTAATGCATTAATTAGCAAGCTTAGTCTAATAAAACATTACTCAATGAGTCAATGGAATAGGAGATTTATTGATCGGTTTGGATGTTCTGTGCAACTTTAGGCACTTTGACACGTTTTTTTGCAAACTACCAAGGCGAAGGGACGTTTAGCAATAAGCTTTTTTGAGAGTGCAAAAGGGGCAAGACTAATATGTCCATACAATGTTTAAATTTGTGATGTTCAAAATTAAAACTAACAGGGTTGGCTCAACTATTTTTTGGTAAGTTGCTATTTTAGAATAAACCATTGAAAAAAAACATATTTTATAGAAGTTTTGGTTTATGTTCTGTTAGTTCGGTTCGAGTTTCAATAAAACAAGGAACATTCATTGTCTCTGGATCGTACCGTGGCAAAATAGGTAGTCTATGATTAAAACTTTGAATAATGGTCCTCACAAATTGAGATGGAATGATTCAAACAGTAAAAGTTACTGAAAATTTTTACATTATCGTAAATTTGACAACATGGTAAGTTTTCTTCTCGAGGTTCACTGTGGGCTAATTTCTTCGACTTACCACAATACAAATTCAGGTCTCCTCACTCGTAATTGCTTTCAACGTTTGAGTTATACTTCATAAGCAGAGTAAAATGAACATGTACTGTAGTTTATTAGCACTTATGGGTTAAAATTAAAATAATTAACTTGAAAGTAACATACCTGTGCTGGACTGTTAATGGAGTCGAAGATGGATTGATATTTTCTCGTGCATTTGCTGTTCTCGATGTAAATGAGTGCCCACGTCGAATAACCACACTGGTAAAGTGTGTAGATGAACTTATACAGTGGACATCATGGTTTTCAAGCAGGTTTGTTTGTGGTATTTCCACCGCTTCATGTCTATTTTCAAAATCAGGGTACACCTCTGAGTCTTCATCATTTGCTTCCTTGTTAGCTCCACTGTCGTAATTATTGATTTTGTAAATACCTTAAAAGTCAGCAACCCTGAATCAATTAACGGACTTTTAAAAGTTCAAATATAATTTTGTGCTAAAGCATATATTTGCCCTTAATTAAAAGTGAGAATATTTTTTCCAGGCTTGAAACCTCGTGCCCGGACTTCCCAAGCAGGTACTTTACATAACTTCCACAAAGTTCATATTTTAGATCGTCAAATACTCAGATCGCCTATTCATCTAAAAAATGCCTCGTCTGCTATGCATACAAAGTTACATTTAATTTGATTTGAGAAAAAAAAGCAAATCAACTGCGGTAAGATGCCCAGTTAACCCCCTACACTTCACTCCAAATTGCTTACCTTCATAAATTCGATTTACTTATCGTGCATTTAAATAACTACAGATTTCAAGATCCTAACCTTAGCCATGGTGTGACAGACTTTGAAATTAAAAACATCTTGCGCCCGTTTCTTTACCAAGTGAATGGCTGGCTGTTAATATGACAATTCAGACAAATTCTATACCTACATATTTTCTCCTATATTTTTTCTACCTCTTATTATCAAAGTTTTTTTCGGTCGACATTGCTTATGCACATATTAGACAACAAGTCTTTACATTGGCTTTCAAGGCAAATCAATGAGTAAAATAAAATCATAAGCATTGAAGTTCCTGGTACAACGAAATGCTTTCGCTTCTAGATGAAGACACACTAAAAACCTTGCGTATCTTAGACACCGAAAACAGATGTATAACCACAACTGAAGCAGACTCAAGCAATAATAAAAGATCTTAATGTCAAACAAATTCATTAAATTAAATTATTTAAGACTTACTGAAACCTGTCAAATCTATTTTTGTGGCTCACGCAAAACATAACCTTTGTTGACTTTTCACATTCGTCGAAGTGTATTCGGTGGTAAATTGTGTGTTCTGTATTTTTACACTGTTCTGTCACCAGTAAAAAGTATACTCTAGCAAGCTGAATTAAAAACCTTGTAGAATGTGTCGGTCTAAAGTCATCTGGATATAAGTCGATCAAAAACTCATGAATATTTGGTAAGGTTAACTCATAACACACTCTTGAACCGATGACTATTATGTTAGTTATTTTGCACTGTAATTTATGTGTCCAAGTTTTTTTAAAATATTTAATCTATGTTTTCTTAACCAACCACAAACTACCGTTTTCGATTAATAAAAGGTTTAATCACCTGAACTTATAATTTATTGTTAAATGGAACTGGGATAGGGACACAAAGTGTCTTTTCGAGTGGCATTTGCGCTGAAATTATGGGAAGGGGGAATTTTAAGCATGAAATTAAAATATCCGTTCAAATGACCAAATTGTTGCATTATGTATGAGAAGATCCTGTTGTTTTAAAGTCAGTTTTTTTTATAAACGTGACTGCATCAAATAGGCAAAAGCGATTTTAGACTAGTATTAAAGGCGTGTTGATTACTTATCTTAATTAACAAAATGTACATTGTCAAAGTGGAGAAGGTTTTCTAAATTAGTATGATGCAACTCAGTGCTGAGCTTTAACAAAAATAAAAGCCCTTATAGCTAAACATTTTAATTGATTAATTGACGTCAGGTAGGTCAAACTTTTACTTGATGGGTTACTTTTTTTACACTTTAAAGGCACAATTTTTATCCGCCTTCAATAAAACTAGAAGGGTTTGGGGCTGGTAATCTCTCAGATGTGAGCTGCAATTTTGCATAGATCAGAAATTAAGATAATGCTAAACAAATTTAGGCACTGCTTTATTTTACCATTATATCAAGAAAAATTTTAACCATGTCGAGCTTATTGTTGCGAACTGGGAATTTTAAATTATTAGAACCTGCTGTAACACTGATTTGTTTAATGAATATATTTTGTGTTGGTAGTCTAAATACTTATAATATAAATTCACCACATGAGATTTTTAAGTTAAAAATTTCTGAATGGCATTTAAATACAGTTGATTCTGAAGTTTCATCAACTTTGTGGCTGATTCTTTCATATACATATAAAATGGTCCATATTAAGCAATCGATTTAGACCAATCAGTAAGTGCAATCGCACATAATGGAAGCATTCAAATCAAATTGAAGTTCTTAACTGAAATGGCAAAATACTATTAGCACCGGTGCTCTCAAAGGCATAATTCTAAGAATTTGTTTCATAAGTACTCACCACTGACAGAAGAATACCAGCCCTGGAGCTTTGGTGATGGAATCTCCTTTAGTTCTTCATCAACCTTGAAGGCACAAAATAGAGTCAACTGAGGAGTAGCCGGAGTGTTGATTTTGACGTAATGTCACAAAATCAATGGATTTATAAGGAAACGGTCAGAGCATTTGTATTTCATGCGACATAGCAGCAACGAAAAAAGTAGTTAGGTTTGCGACTGCATAAATTCAGATGCTTGATACTTTGTTTTTGATTTAAACCCTCAAGTTGTGTTCAAAATTATTCAGAATAATAAT